GGCCCGCCGCGGGCAGCCGGAGGGACGTGAGGCCCAGCTGGGAGCGCACGGCCAGCCGCAGGTTCTCCAGCACGGACGCCTAGGAGAGAGCAGAGCGCTCAGCGCGGGCCAGGCGGCCGCGCGGGTGAATGTCATGCACGGACCCTAACAGCTCAGCTGCCGGCTGGAGTGCCTCACCGCTAGCCCTCCCGCCGCCGTGTGCACGGCTGAAACTCCCACCGACTTCCGCCAGCGTCTGCGGAGGGAGAAGCAGCTGCCCTGCTCGAGGCTCACCCCACTCTAGCACCCAGTCTGCACGGCGGGTCAGGCGCACTGCAGGTACGAGCCTGACGCCTCGTCTCATATTCCGCTTTCAGCTCTGTGTAATGTCCCCGGTAACAGTTACTGTGTCTCAAGATCATCATGCGATGCGTCTAGAATGAGGAAGGCCAACAAATCGCGGTATTTCACGAAGTGACCGGCCTGAAATCCAAGTCCTTTCTGCTCTTTAAACATACAGCAAGTTGGACTTGATGTACAAGGTTGAACTTTCTTAAGTTTAAATGTGGGAATTACCTTTCAGAGTTGGGTCTCAAGGGTTTGTTGAATGAAAGAATATTAAGGATTTAATTACAGTCACAATTGAAGGAATTAATGCATTTGTAATACAGCCCAGAAAAAAATTAAATACTTGTTTATGACATTACACAACAGTATCTAGTTCCTCCTCCGTCTTTACGGGTTACGTTTTATTTTCTACAGTTCAGTGTTTATAAATCATTATACTGAAAATAACATCTGGAAAAATATTTGGAAACTATAATTTCTCACCAAGGATTCCCTAAAAGACTCAAATGGGCTGAGAGACTAACCAGAAATCTCCCTTACCAAAAGTGAAATGTATTCCATCTGGAACAGTTAAAGTCACTGAGAAAACAATATTTACCAATTTCTAACTCTTACCTGAAGACAATTTTTATAAATGTTCCTGGATGAATTTACAATTTAACTGTTTATAAATCTTTACATCTAAAAATGAAACATGGCACACTGTTAAGATTTGAAAAATGAATTTTAAAAAACCCAGTAAGAAGTTTAGAGAATTCTAAAACATTACTAAGAATGAATTACTACGCCAAGCAAAGGGGTTGAACGCTGCGTGCAAAATCCAACCTGAACAGTTTCCCTGAAGTGAGGGAGAAACGTTAACTTCATTTCGGTTCCTTGCACTTGTAAACGATTACTTCCCCATGTAGTGTTTTACCAGCGCGTTAACTTTACTATTCCTCAGTAAATCTCTGCACGTCAGTCCAAGTAGTGTGCCACGGCGACTTCTGATCTCAGTGCTCGAAGTTAACGTGGACAGTAAAATGCGCAAGGATCACACAGCCAAATCAGAAGAGTAAACATGCACTTTTGGTAGTGTTTGTTGAAATGTAATAAAAAAGTGTAATTTCAAATTCTCCATGTATTTTATCCTTGATTTGATTGCAGAAATCCTTTTAGTCAAGAGCCCTTCCTGTACTGGTACAGGCCTATACAGGTATTTCACTTTTAACCAGTGCTGAAACAATCAGGAATTGTAGTGTCTATCAAAGGACTCCTAGAATGAACCAAACCCTAGAAACGCAGCAGCGCACAGGACCAGCACAAAACCCAGTCACGGCCCTGCACACTAACAGCGAAGCCTCGCGATATTTAGGAAACAACAGCACTTACTACAGCACCAAGAAAGTGAAATACTGAGGAACCAGCCCATCAGGGAAGTGAAAGACCTCTGCAATGAGAAGTGCAGTACTCTGAAAAAGGAGAGCAAGGAGGACTTCAGAAAATGAGAAGTTCTCCCCTGCTCCTGTACAGGCAGAAACAGTATTGGCAAAATGGCCATACTCCCAAAACTGGTATACAGATTGAACACAATCCCAATCCAAATACCTATAAAAACATTCCTCACAGAACTAGAGAAAGCAATCCTAAACGCACATGGGACCAGAAGAGTTCCAGCAGAGTAAAAGCAATTCTGGGCAACAAGGTTAAAGGAAGAGGCATCACAACTGAAGACTGCAAGTTGCATTTCAAAGGCACAGTGATAAAAACAGCACAGTGCTGGGCACAGTGGCACACGCCTATAATCCGAGCACTGGGAAGGCTGAGGCAAGAGGGTTGCCTACAGTTTGAGGCCATCCTGGGCTACATGAGAGTTCAAAGTCAGCCTGAACTACGTAGCAAGACCCTGTCTCATAAAACAAAAACAGAACAAAACAGAACATGACATGACAGAAAGAGCATGGTACTGGCACAAAAATGGACACATGGATGAGTGCGACAGAGCAGAAGATGCAGAAGGAAACAAGCCCCGGCACACGCACCCTTCTGATCTCTGGCAAAAGGGCCAAACACACACGCTGGCAGAAATAGAGCCTCTTTACGTGCACACGTGCGCGAGTGCTCCACGCCTGCCCCGCCCAGCACGTGCTAACCTAAGATCCAAGTGGGCCGCAGATGGGAGTGCCCGAACGGAAGCACTCTGCTGGAGGACGGCAGGTCACCTCCTCAGGACACAGGCACAGCACAAGGGCTTTCTCTACGGACAGGGCCCCAGCGGCACAAGTCGTAGCATCAAGAACCAGCAGGCGGGTCTCACCAAATTAAAAAGCTATTTTTGCAAGCAAAGCAAACAATCAACAGAATGAAGAGACAACTGACAGCACAAGAAAAAACTTTGCTAGCTATTCCTCAGAGGACTAATATCTGGAATATATAAACAACTCAACAAAATTAGACTCCCCAAAATAAAAGACCCAATCAAAAGGAAGTACAAATGGCTAATAAATACATGAAAAAAAAGCTCAACCTCTCTGGCCACTGGAGAAATGTAAATTAAAACAACAATGAGATTCCATCTTACTCCAGAAAACAGCGCCATCATCAAGAAATCAACTAATAATCAGTGCTGGTGGGGTTATGGGAAAAAAGGAACCCTTCTACATTACTGGTAGGAATGTAAACTAGTACAGCTACTATGGAAATCAGTATGGAGATTCCCTGAAACACTAAAAATAAGACTCTACTCAACCCAGAAATTCCTCTTCCAGATGGCCTCTAAAGAGTTAAAGTACCGTATTACAGCAATATATGCACACCCATGTTCATGGCAGAAAGTTGTAACAGCTAAAATTTGGAAGCAGCCTCTATGTGCGTCAGCAGATGAATGGGTAAAGAAAACGTGGTATTTACACACAGTGGAGCCTTACTCTGCCATAAGGAAGGACAGACTGAGTCACCTGTAGGAAAATGGATGCACCTTGAACTCATAACATCAAATGAAATAAATCAGACACACAAGCCTGAATATTACATGGTTCTCTTATATGAGAAACCAAAAATATAAACAGCAAAGTAAAAGGCAGATGACAGGAAACAGGGATAGCGCTTCTGCAAATGAGAGGGGGCCCAAGCGGTGGAGGGAGGGCGGGAGAGACGGGAAAGGGATGTCCCATGATGACCGCAGTCAGTAGGGACGAAGGTGCGCTCTGCATGCCCCAGCCCCGGCCCCGTGATGACCGCAGTCAGTATGTACTACACACATGCACTAATAAAAAACAAAAAAGAAAAGAAACTGCGATATACCTGACTAGGTGAACAAACTGGAAAGTCTTCCACTGGTGGAATTAAGCCCTGAGCAATCAATTGTCCGTAAGACGGGGGAGCTTCTCTTCTTAACAGTTCTGCTTCCACTCTTGACAACTGGGTCTCGAATGATCTTTGAGAGCAGACGAGGATAAAAAGGGTTCATAAAAGGCAAGTCTAAACAGTAATTTTCTACTATCAGTGATTACAACCACCTGACCCCTAGTACATTTTGAAAGCTTGGTCTGCACGCTGAGAACAGAAGGGCTACTGTGCAGAGGAGCTGTACACTAGCAACATCCTGGACGACGGCTCCAGGGGCCGGAGTCCCTGTCAAAGGCACAGGGATGGAGGGAAGCACTAGGCTGTGTCTGGACTTTAGGCGACACTCGAACGGCCTCACAGACACTTCATTCGGCAGGTTCAACATGGTTCCTCCCAGCTGAGAGTGAAATGATCACCGATCCTCTTTCTGGAAGACCTGGATTGTGAACTTAGGACTCTGACCCTTCACTGTGCTTTTTTGGTGTTAAGGTGGCAAAGTTTTCTGGCACCTCACACTTGGCAGGAGAAAAGCTGCAGCAATGGCTAGGAAGGCAGTGGCACCTCCGCACCATCTGTAGCCCTCACTGCAATGCCGTTTGTTACTGTACCCTCTGGGGCCTGGAGGCCCTTGTCCCACTGCAGCCTCATCGAGGACCTCTTTGCCTGCTTCTTCCAGGTTGGCTTCCTCTTACACTGCGCTGAAAACTCGCCTCCTCAAAGGTCACCTCTGAACACTTAACCACTGGACACCATGGCAGGAACCTTGGGCCTGTTCTCGTCACCTACCAGTGCTTTTGGATCTTGGGGTCCAGACACACTGACTGGGTACTTCCTCTCTGAGCAATGTGTGATGGGCCCCCTTCTAGAGTTTCCCAGGCGTTTTTTAGTCTCCAGTGCCTTGTCTCTACCTGCGTTCCGCTCACACATTCTAAGCGGCACCTCTCCAAGGAAAGCCTTCCACCTCATCACATCAGGTGTTTCTGACTTTTATAGCACTTTGCTTTACAGCTTTTACAGCACTTACGTTTTTCCATTCTATTCTACACCACTTCCATCCTCCTAGCTGAAAAGTGCTTGTAAGATTATAGCTTATTCATTTTTCTTTTCACTTGTAGAATGCTTTGAAGGTATCAGGCTATAAAATGAGGAATTACTGAACATTTATAACAACACAGGTTAAAAGTTACAACTAAAAGTTGCAGCTTGCAAATTCCCATAAAAAGGTTCATCTGAAAACAGGAGCTGGTCCACAGCCATACCGCCCACCCTGAACCCGCCAGTCTTGTCTGAAAACACGAGCTGGTAAATATGGACTGGCTTTCCCCACCCTCATAGCGCTATGTTGTAGTTCGTAATGAGTTTAGCCTTGAATTGTGGGCTTTTCACACTAATATTATCAATGATAAGTAATATTCATACATTTTAAAACTAATACAGAACAAAACATACTGCTAATGCCATGAAGGACTTGTGGCACACACGCGCTTGGGCCATGTTTTTCTAAGTCAGCACAGCTCTTGATACTGACCTCCGTTCAAACATCCGCAGGGAGTAAAGCTTACATGTGCACCCCAAGGCGATGACGAGCAGCAGGCCGCAGATGAGGCTCCCGATGACGGCTGCGGTGATGACCCTGGTGGGCACGATCACCGGGCAGTTCTCTTCGTCACTGCCGTCACCACAGTCATCCTGAGAGTCACACACCCAGCTCTCAAACACACAGCGATTGTTTTTACAGTGAAAATTTCCTGGCTGGCAGAAAAAGCAGTTTTTTTCATCTGAGCCGTTGGGACAGTGATTCTGGTAGTTGCAGCGGTCAGAGCGGGGGTAACAGACACCATTTCGGGAACATGGAAATTCCTCTCTCTGGCACACGGTACAGTTGACTTCGTCTCTCCCGTTGGGGCAGTGCCAGTACCCATCACAGCGCTGCTGCTCAGTGTAGCAGCCCCAGTTCCCGCCACAAGGTATTTCCCAGGGCAGACAGAAGCCATCAACTTGGTAAGTGGCATTGAACCCCCTGGCGGCGTTCACTTTATCCGCACAAAAATGGACCCGTATTTGTCCAGAGGAAGACACAACTGTAAGAGGTGCGTGAGAATCAAAAGCAGTCAGCACACGCAGAAGCTTGTGTGGGTTCTCCTCCAGTCCGTCATATATCTTGACGTAGTCACCATAGCCAGTGCCGTCGAGTTTGAAGTCGGTGAAGCGTATGATGACCTTACGATGGTCCCCAGTGTCTATCAGCCAGGTACAGTTGCTCCCAGGAGGGTAGAAGTCTGGGTAATTGGGGGAATTGAAAGTACCATAGAAGTATTTTAACCACTGTCCACAAGTGGGCACATCACAATCGATCTCATCTCCGAGGTCAAGGCAGTCAATGTTCCCATCACATTTTAAAGACTCGGGGAGGCAGGTGTAAACTTTGGTGAACCGGGACAGACACTGGAACTGGTTGTAAGCACAGGGCTGAAATGAAGCCGCTGTTGGAGGGCTCGCTTCTCTGGCACAGATCTCTTCATCGGAACTGTCTCCACACTCGTCCATGTTATTACACTTCCAGGCTTCGGGAATACACTTCCCATTACCACAGCGAAACTGATCACAGGCACAGCTGGGCTCCTCTGACTTTCCTGGGAGAATGTGGGACATGGAAAGAAAAAATAGTCTTCAAAAAATATCTAGGTATTTTTAAAATAAGTATGAAGCCCAAGTGTTAATGGTTTTTAAAACTCTTGTTATAAAACAGGTTAAGTTCTAATGACAAATTAGTACTGGCACTAATTAGCTAGCAATTTATCAACTGTCCATTATTTTCTCCTTGAGTTCTTTGCATCTTGAACTAAAAGCAAGAAAGAGTAATTCAATTTTTGCAAAGAGCTACTGTGTGGAAGAACTGAGCAAGATGGTGAGAGACTTAGGAGCCAGCAGGATATGCTACCTAATAATGCTAAGTAACGTTGTAGCAACATTATTAAAGCCACGATAGACATTTTTAAATGAAAAACTTCATTCAAAACAATCGTCTTTTTAAATGTTTTCATATTCTTCTCCATTTTTCTATCTTTATATATACATATACAATATTTTACCACATATCCATAGTATGTTTTACAAACTATGTCAAACTTTTAGTGTTTCATGTAATTATATAATACTTGCATTTAATAATCTTTGTTCTGTAACACCATTGCAAAATACTGCATAACTTAAGCTGAAGATATAAATTTATTCATCAAATAAACAAATGATAGAAAAAACCTGACGTGACTGGAGAATCCCAGGGATCTCAGTGTACCATCCTCAACAATGAGATAGGGAAAGACAGTCGAACAACAGACTGTTGCATTCTTCAAATCAACAATGTTGGGCCAATTCTCACTTTTCTGCTAACAATGTTATTTATTAGTAAAAGTGAAAAATGAGTAGAAGCAAATATTCCAGATTATGTTAAGAAAATAGAAAAATAGTGCAGATATTTGGTAAAGGAAATTCATTTCAGATGATGTAAAATAATTTTCAGCAAAAATTACATATAACTAATGCTCTGAAATTTGCATTTATGTGTTCTGTTCACTGTTTTTTGGATACAGTTTGAGAAAGGCAAAAGTAAGACTTCTGAGACGACAAACTTTAAAGATGAGTCTGGTCAATTCTTTCATGTCTTTTCTTTGAAGGTATAAAAAAACAATGATAATTCACATCAAGAAATACATTCTGGGAACTCTCGTGCCCTGGACAAGCACTGGAGGAAGCGGAACCTGTATTCTACCAGAAACCCGACCCTCCTCTGCGGCACTAGTCATTCGTCTGGGCTATGCAGCGCAGCTCTGGGACCCCGCTCTATGGCGCCTGGGTCGAGCTTTTCATCTCCAGCCTCGCCGTCACAGGGCCTCCTCCCCAAAGTGGACACCGTTCGGATGACTAGCCCTGAAGTGACTGAAGTGCGAGCAAGCAGGGTTTGCTTCCAAAGCTTTCATCTTTTGAAAAACACACCTGAAAAATAGGCCAGTCGGAAGCCCTTTCTCGAGACGCTGCCGTCTGAGTGGAACCTGACCCACACATGGTCTTGTGAGGAGATGTACGGGGGCGGGACTGTGGAGCCACACGCTCTGTAACTCTCTATGTTCTTGGACGTTTCTATTGTCAACCAGTCCAAACTGCATCTTCTGGATCCCTGAATATCAAAATCCTGAAAACTAAAGCAAGAACAATCAGAAAAATTCTTAGTAACATACTACATCTAACAACATTATAAACCTCCATACATTTACTAGTTCTTCTTGGCTTTCTAGGCATATGGCCCCACCATCAGAAGTAGTATTATGATGTCTATGCCCTAATATCTATTATTTTCTCCCCAGATTCCAGAGTAGTTCTGGAAAACCAGACTTCAAAATGCTAAAAAGCAGGTGATAGTTAGCACTTTTTTCTTTTTCCCTAGGAAAACCCACTTCTAATTCAGAACACCCTGAACTGTTCTGTGTTTGAAACTTAAAGGCTACTCTTTAATCTGATGAATGAAGTATACACAAAGTCGGCATTCTCTTTAGATTAGACTGGTTCGTCTGCTTGCTTAATGGAACACTTATACATCAATTACATTTTCTAGAGAGCAAACAGCATAAATCTGGACAAAATACAAAAATTAAAACAACCAAATAAAAACTTTTTTTGCTGTAAAATCTGTGGTAAAACATTTTACATAGAACATTTTATAATCAAACATGATTTTGTAAGTTCATAAAACATGGTCATGATAAAAGGGCAAAAGCCAAATATTAGAACACACAGAAAATCAGCTATTGCTTAGGAAAATAAGAGAAACCGAAGTATTTTTCCAACATCTAAACATGTCTCACTAACAAGTGAAGATCTGACTTCATCTCGCTGCCTTCACCTTCGAGTAAGTTACAGTGAAGTTAAATATCCAAGGACATCAGGAAACTTGCTTTTTAAATATCCTGATAACTCTAATAAAGGCTGACAATTTGTAGTTTTTCACTACTATGAACACTGTTTTAAGAATCCATGTACGTCTGTGCATCTCTTATACACATGAGCAAGTATTTCTCTACAATAGTTTCCTAGAAGTAGTAGTCCTAGGTCAAAAGATATGATTCCTCTTTAAATTTGATAGACACTGATAGAAAATGTTTACACTAACTCACAACTCCACCAACGAGTATCAGATTACCATATATTCCATCCCTCTGGGAAAATGAAACTTTGATTTTTAAAAATTATGTTGTCAATTATGTGAACAAAATAGATTATTACTCTATTTTGCATTTCCTAATTTACTAACATTGAAATACTTTCCCCCACATTTACTGGCTATTTCTGTTCTCTTCCCACGAACAGCTTTGTTACATCCCTCCATCCACTAGGTGTTTGCCTTATTTAAGGACTGCATGTTACAAAGCCAACCTCTGTTTGGCTGTTAGAAAGGCACGTGTCCACTTCCACCGCACATTTCCCCCAACACCTGGCGCATTCAGTGCTTCTCAGGTTGGTCATTCGTGGGCGTGCAGTGGCATCTCTCAGTGTGGTTCCACGTGTACTTCCCTGAAGACAACTTACAGTGAAGAGCTTTTCCTGATTTTAGGGGCCATCCTATCTTCTAAGCATCTACATCTTTTGCCCATTAAAGAAATAGGTGTGTTTTCTTGAGGAACAAGAATTATTCTTTTTCTGGTACTAGGAATTGAACTCAAGACCTTGTGCTTGCCAGGCAGGCACTGTACCATGAGCTATATCCCCAGCCCACAAAAATTATTCTTATAATCTGGACTCAAACCTTTGTGTTAGATATTTGTATTGCTAATACATTTTTCTAGTCTGTGGTTTGTCTTTTCATTTTCTTAATGGAATCTTTTAATAAGCAGAGGTTTTAAAAAAATAAGCAGAGGTTTTAAGTTCTGGTTTTGGTAAAATCTAATTTATTATCTTTTCCTTTATATTTAACATTTTTAGTGTCTTAAGATCCCAAAAGTATTAAAATATTTTCTTAGTTTTAGCTTTTACATTACACCTAGGATTTATTTTGAATTGACTGTTGTGTGTTCTCAATTAGGGGCCCAAGATTCTCCCTTTTTCCTCCTTCATTTATTTAGAATGTAGAGGATACAGTACTCATTCTTGTTTTGTCACACACATCACTGTCTGATCACTTAAATCTAACATTTTGTTGGAATAGGTTAGTTCCTGCTTTGCTCTTATGTCTTGGGTAAATTCTTAGTTTTAGAACATTGCATTTCCTTGAAAAGTAAGACACTTGTAGGGCTTCAATAAAGACCTCAAGGTATTTATGAAGGCCCTCGAAATCAGCAAGTTTCAAACTCCGAACTGTTTCACCTAGGATGGACTAACAGGATTCAAACCCCAAATCACTCCTGCTGTGGATTCAGCAAACAGCTGAATGTGACGTTGGGAGGATTCAGCAGATAGCTGAATGTGATCTGGGAGGAAGTGGTCACTTGGGCATGGCCTGGAAGGGGCCATCTCCCTCTTCCCTCTCTTCTCTCTCTGCTACCTGTCCTCCACGCCATTAGCAGCTTTCCTCTGCCAGTCTACTCTGCCAGGCCATCCTGCCTTGGAACCAGCTAACTATGTACTGAACCCTCTATAAACTATGAGACAAAATATGTACACCTTTTCTCCTTTAAGTTGTGGACGTCAGGTACACTGCCCAGCAATGAGAAAAGTGTCTAAGATAGACTTTGGTACCAGGAGCAGGGTCACTGCTATGACATCACCCTTCTGACCATGTGGCTCAGAAGCCTTTGGAACTGATTTGAAGGAGGAGTTTGGGAAGGTGTGGAGAAAGCGCCTGGACAAGTAGCCCTAGGATGTTATAAACTGAACTTGATGGGAGATTCTGTCAGAACTCAGAAGGTCAGAAAGTTGATAAAATGCAGCTGGGTAAAGACCAAGCTCAGGCGGTTTCAGCTGGGAATAAGGACTCCATTGGTAGTGACACTATGGGCCATGTATGTTATGCTCTGGTAGAAAATGTGTCTACAATTTGCTCATGTCCTGAGACTGTGGGAGACTGAGATTAAGGACAGTGATAGTTAATCTGGGCGGAAATTTCAAAGCTGTCAACATTTATGCTGTGGCATAGTTACTGCTGTGCTTTTAGCCAGATACATGGGGAGAAACAGAAGCAAAAAGCTCATTTTTAAAGTTTTCAGTTTGGCTAGAAAGAAAGCAGCCAAAAAGCTGGAGTAGAGGAGATCTCAGCTGCGGAAAAGTTCAGTATTACAAAGAAGCGAAGCACTTTACATTGGGATGATTCCCTGAGTTCTGATCATGCTAGTTTTTTCAGACTGATGAGAGTTTTCAGGGAGTTGGTAGAAAATAAACCTGTCTCATTCAGTGTGGTTTCTTCTTTCAAGTATGAAATCCTCTTGTTTCTGCCAACATTTAAGCACTCTTCAAGTGCCTTTCCACAGTTGTTTTTATGTATTTTATCCAGAACTGGTAACTGCTGTTAGTGGAGGGCTAGTTCAAGTCAAGCTAGGGAATACCTTAAGATAATTTTAGTTCACTAAAATGTCCAACTGAGATTCATACAGGCAGGAACATCGTCCAGAACAAGAAATAACTAAAACTATGTGTTCATGGACCCTTGACTGGTTTGCTAATATCTTTTAGGATTTTTTAATATATTCATAAGTGGAATTAATTTTCTGGTTTTTAAAAAAATGCTTTATAACAGCTTATGTAATAAAGCCCTGCTGACATACTTTTCCCTGTAAGTCTGTGGAATACAGACGTAGGGTTGAGATTTTCTATTTCTTCATGTTTTTTGGTTTAATTGGCTTTTCTTACATGTTTGTAAATTCTGACCATTTAAATTTTCTCAGAAGTTATTCATTCTATTTTGAGAGTACAATTCACTACTGTATATAGTACTTTCATATTACTCAAAGACTTTTCATGTCTGTAGTCTTTAAATTTGCTTGGGATTTCTATGGAAACAAACTTATTACTGGCAAATAAGGAGAGTTCTGGCTCTTCCAGCTCGTGTTTGCCTTCTGCTGATTTCTGCCCACTGCGCTGCATCACTGACGGGCTCCCAGCACGTGCGGCGAAGGCACTGCTCCTGCCCTGGGGCCGCGGACGTGCAGTCTGCCTCCTACACCTCTTTACCGATAAGCTTCAGTAAGTTAAGGATTCTTTACCTAGTCAGTAGGTCCAAAGTGACTTAAAACTTTTGTCACAAGATTTTTTTATATTGACTCAATTTCTCTAATGGCTATTGATTTGATCAGTTTTAAAATTCTTCTTGAAGTAAATTTGGTAATATACACATTTCCTAGAAAATGACCTATTTAATCTGACTGTATAACAACAAAGTGTTAACATAAACTTACTTGTAATACTCTTATGACTTAAAATTTCTATTACATTTATAACTATAGACATTTGTTTTTATTTTTACCTTTTTTCTTCATTTTTTGCCTTAAGCTTTTTACTTTTTTTGGTTTATCAAAAAAATCTGCTTTTATTTTGCTGAATCACTGTTTTTCTGATCGTACCTTCCTTTTCTACCTTAAAGTTTACCTAGCAATTCTTTTTTTAAACCATTAAGGTTAAATGCTGAGGTTATTTGTTTTTCATCTTATTAATATTTAAATCCACACATTAAACCTATAAACTTTTCACTAAGTACTCTTCTAATGTTTTCCAGCGGCTGTAATACGTAACACTATCAACTATAATTAGTTAAAAAACATTTAGTGCTATTGTGATGCAGGAGTTATCTAGGAATATGCCTCCAAATATTATGGATTTGGTATTTTTTTCCCTTTAATTTTACTGTGGCAAGAAAACAAAACCTGAAAGACGTACATGAAAACAAAACTTAAATGATAAAAAGTCTTTGAAGTGTACTACATTTTTTTTTGTGCTTTAACGAAATCATTTCAAAAACTAAACGTTCCACATGTTTGTGGAAGCTTTTATCTACCTGCTGAAATAGATACAAGCATTAAAGGTATGTTTAAAATCTATTATCATTGTGAATTCGTCAAATTTGGTAAGTAATTCTCCATATTTTGCTTCGTATATATTTTAGACGATGTTTTTAGGAACACACAATTCACTATCCTCGTCTTTTTCTGGCAGATTTTCCCACCTGTTACTAACACTTGTACCTTAGGGTCCAGTGCAGCTGGTGCTGCTCCCCCTGTGGTAGTTTGTTCTTGATCAGGATCATCAAAGTCAATCTTTTCTCTGCCCCATTTTCATATTTTCTATATCAGTTTCGTTTCCTCTAAGTCCTCTATATAGTGAGAGTACATAAATCAACCAACCAATAAATCTGCTTAGATCATCTGTCTTTTGAAGGTCTGAGTTAATACATTTGTGCTTATTAATAACCTCTGAGTTCTCATTTACCTCCTTTACTATGTTTTTTTGCATTCGTACAGTTTTTTAAAAGTCCTCTTTTCTCTACCTGATACTTAAGAATGTTACTCTTTTTTCAAAATTAGTTATCTTCAGATATTTTAATTCAAATACCAACAGAAACTTTTTCCCTAACCAGGTCGAAGAATATTTAGTTTCTATTCTCCTTTCACATTCTCAAAATGGGTAGAAATAATTTGTAACTTTATTTTTATTAATGTGTGATTGAAATTATTAGCATTTCCTTTATATATAAACAATAAACCATAACAGTATTTAGAGTACCTGCCATTTTGTCACTATTAGAAAACAGATACTTCCACATTACATTTCAGTTTTCATAGATACCTAAAAATACTATTTATACTCAAAATCATTCTGAATGACAGTAGTTTTAGAACTGTCACTGTTCTTATCAGTATTAGTAAGCATATATTATTAATACATTGTAACATGTGATTAGCTGTATTTTAATATAATGACATTTTGTAATTCTGTGTTTTATGAATTTAAAAACCTACATTGTGGGAAAAGACCCATAGACTCACTAGACTACCAAAGGCCCATCACAGGCACAAAAAACATTAAGAAGAACCTGCTGATAACATAAATCTTACAGTGTTTAGAGTAAATTTGTACTCCAGTCTGATTTTGCTGGATGACATCCTTAGCATTAAATCCTCTCACACACTCTAGGATTCTGGGGGTAGCTTTATTCTGAGAAGGCTTCTAGTTTTCTTTTTTGCTCTATGCCCCTGGCACCTGGTGTCCATTCCAGAATTAGAGCATTCACAACTGTGCCACGGGGCAGCAGGTGGCAGGCCCCATGTACTTGCTAGGAGCTGTCCTCTCACCCTGAAGCCCCTCCACCCCAAGCAGCTCAGGCTGTAGTTGCTGGAAGCTGCTCTTGGACTGCTTTCTCCAGTACAACAGCTACCCCAGTCCTTGACTTTAAGGAGCACGCAACGACTCAGGTCTCCACTGGATAAGCCAGTTTTTGTTGTCTTGGTGGGTTGCAAGGGAGACAAAGGAAAAATGCCTTTATGTCACAATTTCCGCTCTTTCATACCGAGAGCTTGCAGCATTGTTTATTTATGCTCTGTAATTGTTTTCCTCTTCTACCCAGATGTTATAAAGCCATGTCTCAATTCCATTTTACTGGGGATTTTAATTTTTTTTTAATTTAGGAATGAATGCTGATTGTTTTCTTAATCAAAATGCTTTAAACACATCCATCTATCCCAGCTAATCATAAACTTCTGATTTGTTAGTAAGGTAACTCAACTTAAATTCTCTAACACTAACTCATTTGTGCATCTGAAGGAACTGCATTTGATTATGGCATGAGATTTTAAAAATCATTTACTTAAGATTTTACAAGAGCAGTCATAGGCAAAAGCCCTGCCTTTATGCATACTCATTTTTAAAAGTTGTGGTATTAATATAATAAGGTTATTAAAATCACTTTCTCAAATTCGTTAACTTTAAGAATTTAGGACATTTCCTTTTACATGCAGGTTTCACCTCTAATTTTGCTCTGCATATCAGTATCATACTTGATTTTTAGTGTCTCTTACCTTTGAAATCCAACACATAATCAAAACAAGAGAACAGTATTCCTCTAATTCTTCTGGGCAGACAAGAAATTCCAAGCTTCATATAACTGAGCTGGTAAACTACAAGTTAAACTTGTAGATTAAAACATAAACACCTCTATAAATTCTAATTTTATGTTAAACATCCAATATTTGGTGAAATCTTATTCTGTGAGCATGTAAGATGCTCCAGCATTCCAGAGGAAGTCACCAAGGACAGAGGAGCCTCAAAGGAAAACAAACCGTGTGGCTCTTTTGCCAGCCTTCATGAGACGAGGGAATACAAGTTGTTTCTAAGAAAGGCAGCTTCACCTATCTGTTAAAGAATATAAAAGGGAAGATGGACAAGTTGTTTCTAAGAAAGGCAGCTTCGCCTATCTGTTAAAGAATATAAAAGGGAAGATGGAAAAGATAGGAAAGTAGGCTAGTTTACAGTATTTTAAAAAATGTAAAACAGGATTTGAGGCTATGATCTGCGAAGGCTATGATCTTTTCTAATCTAAAATTCCATGGCTTCCACCCGTGAAAATGTAACAGTTGGGAGGACGTCCACACAGTGCTCATGTTACCGCGGAGTGCTGTCTGTGTGACGGGAATGCGTTCTTATTTGCGTGTTAGCTCCAAATCCACTTCTTTTGTTCAGGCACACTTTCTCTCTCACTTTAGGTATTTTTTTGTAGTATTTTTGGTAACATTTCCTTACGCAATATCTAGTCTATTAATCAGACTCTCCATAATATCTTTTTCTGGTTTTTCTCTGTATTGACTAATATTTTTAAAGAATTAATATTAACCCTTTACATTTATATCATATTTATTTTTGAATCTTAAACGTATGATTATTTTGCAGACATGCATCTGTGATCATGTTTTAACACGTGCAGGTAAAGGACTCAACTCACATTTAGGGGCTAGATCTCCAAGGGGATTAGTGAATTTTCTCCTACTGCCTAAGTTTACTCTTACCTTGATGAGTTACGTACCAAATGCGTAGCTTTTGTTAAACAGTAGCTTAGAAGAATACAGATGACTCACTGTAAATATATTTCCACCATTATTAGAAAGTATTCAAAACATGTTACTCTTACGATGATACTGATATAGAACTTTTATCATCTGAAAAATCTTTTTATATTACTGTGCATTAGGTAATGACACTTGGAAATTTAATCCAATTTACATTTTGTAATATATATCACAATACTACAAAGGTATCAGAGTTACCTTATAGTGATGATTTCCCCTGGGTTTGCCTTGATGAGCCAGCTGCAGTTGAGTCTGGCAGGGTATTCAGACGGCCAGCCTGGACTTGTGATTACCCCGCTTGGTGCTCGGATTTGTTCTGGAGTCTCTCCACAGGCTGGAAGACAGCCAAAGTAATCCTAGGTAATTATTAGGCTTTAGAACACATCATTAAGTAAGGAAGTATTTACTTTTAAAAAAACACCTAAGACATAAAATCATATGTAGTAATATGTGGTATTAACAACTTTGGAAAGCTTCTATTAGTTCAATGTGATCTTTTTCATTTCTTCCCTTTCAGACAAAGAGCCTTATCCTAATTAAGTACATGTTTGGAGCAGGCAAGGAAATTCTCAGGTTGTATTATTCAAGAATCACAGTTGCTACACTTAGCCAGAGAAAACGACTGATCCATCTACCTTTTCTCAAGCCCACTTTTTAAATTTATATTTCTTCATTATAAATTACCTAAAGTTCAGCATTTATTGAATTATTGTGTTTACAGCCTTATGATTATCACCTTGCTCTCAGAGCACTTTAAATAAACATAATTGCAATTTTCACTAGGAAGTTAGTAGATGATTGGATAGAAACAGCAAAACATCCAAAATTACTGCGAAGTACAATAGTTCTTCCATTTATTCCATTAATGCGTCCAAACTTTATTACAGGGTCATGAATGTTTCCTAAATTACTGAAAAATAAACTCTTAAAATACAGTAGGGCTCAAAAATACCACTATGTGATTAGATATCTAATTGTCATGGAAGAAAATTTTCATGCATAGAGAATAAATTGAAACTAATACCAGTACTTTGCTGGATCATTCTCCTTATACTATCTTGAATCTCACTGCAATATAGTTAATATTTTATCTATAGAGAATCTAGCTGATGATCTTTCAATTTATTCTCCTTTAATTAAAAATAAAGTCACTGCCCTACAAACATGATGAACATTTAAGCCTTCAACTACAATTTAAAAATCACCAAACCTCTTTCTAAATACAACTTAAACAAATTAATTACCCAACTTTTAATGTGACAGTAGATTAGACGCAACAGACTAGAAACGGGGACAGCAGCTGTCAGGCACACACGCGGCTCCCAGAGGTGCCGAGGCGCTCGTTAGAATAATAGTAACAACTACATGCTGAACCCAAAAACCATAAGCACTCAGAGTATGCATTTTCCTATCTTCCATAGGATAAGAGACGGCTGTCATCACAGTTAACACACATGCCTATCAAGAGCTGTTAAGCAAACATTCAGCGTCAGCAAAGCTGCTTATGTAACACGTGGCCTGAATGCGCATGCTTTTTGAGTCCTGCTATCAGTTTAGAAATCAAATAAGCCAATTTGCAGGTAGTCAAATATGCTTATTACAGTTATAATTTGGAAAAATGTTTTTTCTTGGTAACAGATTTATATAGTCTGTTCAATTCAATTACACTTGAAAATATACTATGTACTTTAAAAACTTTATCCAGAATGACCAAAATAGAGATAGCTGCACTGCTTAAAGTTGGCCCTCACTTCTACAGACTCAACCTCACCTTCCCGGGCAAACCTCAGGCCAGGCTCGTAAAGCCGGCTACCACAGGCAGCTCACGGCACCTCCAGGCGCCGGCCCTGCATGGTGAGGGGTCTCGCTGGGGGCTCGAGAAATGGAGGGTCCCAGCACGGCGCATGCACACAGTTCCGAGGGCCCTAAGACCATCGCACCGCCCACGCGTCATCATTTCCTTTTTTTTGGTTGTTGTTTCATTACGTTTCCCTTACAAGAAAAATGTCAATTTTACTGAACGTTTTAGAAAAAGACTAAATTTCTCTAAATATAATTTTTTCAGAGCTTGCTAATAATAAATTGCCAGTTGCTTCCATTTTGCTCTGAGTTGTCACAATAACTTAATAATAAGGTACCCTAAGTCATTTATAAGGTCTTCTTTTTCGTTATCTCTTACCAAAGTATTCTGGGAAGGATTTTTAAGTTCATGAAGATATAAATAAACATGCAAAAACAGTATGGGGAACTACTCCCCCAAATATGGACAAGTGTTCATTTTCTTTAAAAATTCAACTGCACTAAAGAGCATAAAACAACTTCAAATTAATACTATTTAACTTAGGATTAAAATACCACACTGGCATGTAAGTACTCAAATACTTATAAACTGACTTAACAGCTGTGAAGTACACCCAAAAACTAGGTGAGAGTATTCTGTGACAAAGCAGAAAATTATTAACCTTTACATAAATGATAGATTACCTACAAGGAAAAAACTAGAGAGAATTTTACTAGGTTTTTGTTGTATTAGTTTTCTTTTTAAGAAAAATTTGTTAAATACTCTATGAGAAACCCATAGGTGGTGCTCTTATACCAGAAACTAACGGTAAATTCTGGTATGACATTAAAATGTAGATGCAAACATTTTATTTCCATACAGCTGCCCAAGGACAAGACATATCACTGTAAGTCAGAATGATTATTTTAAGATTCACTGTTTTACATTTCTAATACCATATGTACTTTTGTTAACATTATTTGAAAATATTAATGATTCCTGCTAATGAAAAATAAAACTACAGCATCAAAGTTTCTCACTGAATTTATGAATACATATTGATTTGGTTTTCCACATTTGTAACATAGCTAAATTCAGCTTCCTGCTCCTGTGGTTTTTTTCAAAAAACAATTTCTTTGAGACATAAAACATCATATATATATATATATTTTTTTTTACATACATAAATACAATGCTTTGATACATGTATGCAGTATGTAATATTTAAATCAACTTAAGTATATATATATATCTACTGTAATATTTATCATTCTTATGGTAGTCCAGTACCTTTTTTGGTATTACTAGAGGTTGAACTCATGGAGCACTGAGCTACATCCCCAATCCTTTTTTGAGATTAGGTCTCACTAAGTTGCTTAGTCTTGTGATCCTCCTGCCTCAGCCTCTCGAGTAGCTAGGGTTACAGGCGTGTGCCATCATATCTGGCGATTCAGTGGCTTTTTCGTTAGCACATTTTTGCAAGAGCAATACACTGGCTATGTAGGTAAACAGATACCACCACAAACATATTCTCCTCTATAAGAAAGAATAAATTCAGCTGCCAGAGAAACCATTCCATTTCCTGCCCTGTTTGGATAAGCGTTCATCTCCACATGCTGGCAGATGTGGAGTAGGAGTCCTCAATGCTGTTTCATCTGCCACTTACTGGTTTTGCCACACTGCAAACTATTCAAAGTTGCTGGGCCTCATTTTCTTCTCATGCTATGATAGGACTTGCTATCTGACCAACGCAAGGTCTACCTCAGCCCCGCGTCAGGTCCCTCTTTCCCTACTATCAAGATGGGTTTCCGCCCCACTTCCAAGAGCTCATCAGGATGCACCAATGTGCTTTTCATTACCTTGTTTTGCAACTTCTTCTTGACCGACTGAAGCCAGACTTTAATTCTTCCCTTGTCTCCATAGAAACCATGCCAGCAGGTGAAAGCCCCCACAGACCTTAGGACCAAGTCCAGTGGGCCCTTGGTCTCCAAGATACTTGACCTTTCCGGAGCATGTGACAGTTTACTACCCTGGCTTTGCTGATACGTCCTTGGCCCTCCTCCTGACGGCCCAACACTGGTTCTCCAACACCACAGTCCCCTGCTTAGCCAGCCGCTGCTACGGCAGTATCCGAGAGCCACTCAGGAGCCTTTGCCTCTTCAAACGAGATGCAAGACCCCATCCACTCCTATAATTTCAGCTAGGATTTATGGTCACAGGATTAAAAATCTCTAACAGTAGATACTCCAACCTGAAATTCAGTATGATTGGAACAGTCTGTTTCCCAAGTCCTTTGTTCTGTGTTCTCAATCTTCAATGGTTTAAGCATCACTTGGCTGAGGGAAAGAGGAGTTAAGCAGGAAGGAAATTTATTGGGAGAACCCCACAGGCAGTCTGTACTCAGGAAGAGGAAAGGGAGTAAAGCAGGGTCTCACAGTGACAAAGGGGCAATTTCCAAGCCAGAGACTAACCCTAACCTCTTAGACAATCAGGCCTGCTCTATTGTCCGCTCTGTGCCCCATCTCCTACCTGGCCTTTCCCAGTCTACTTCTTTCAATATTTCAGTCCTTTGTAAGTGACTTCATCTCAGCTTTTAACTTTAGCTTTAGTACCTAACCTGTACTGCATTTTCATTTTGTCTGTTTATACTAGTTATTTTATGACTTCTTAAAAAATCGGAAATGGTTTACTGCGACAAATCTGATGAAACCTAAGGATTAATAATAGGGTAAATATGAGGATTAAAATGCTACCTAGAGGACAGGGTATGTAAGGGCTGCATTATTTTGGTAAGGACTTATCACACTGCTGGATTTATCAGTGGTCAACAAATGCACCACACGATATGCCTCCGTCTGGCGGACAGCAGAATGCAGAGGCTGAACTGAGATGGTTACTTGGGCTGGAGCTGGGTTCAGAGCAGAGGGCAGGGCCTATGGCAGCCTCGCGGACACCAGGAGCCCAGGGTAAGGGCTACAAGTGATTTGTTATCTGATAAGGGGGGAAGCCAGCGTAAGGGAGGGCTTGGGATGTACATTCCAAAAACCTTAGGAAATAATCTGTTTTAAAACAGCATGTTTATGTCATTTTACTGGTTTGAACCTCACCCTCCTAGATTTTGACAATATTCTCCCTTTATGGTACATCAAATCTGACTCTTTTTTATTCATTCATTCTATCCATGCCTTCTCTATTGCTCATATATAATTATTTTAGCTGGGTCTAGTAAATCTCAGCAAAAATTAGCTTATATGTATTTGGCGAATGGAGGAATCTTGCCAGTATAATACAACATAGTCTTTATTCCCAGCATGCTAACGATTTGAGATGACCAGAGGCAGGAGCGTTCGCAGTAAACAGGAAACAACCCTATAGAAATGCCTTCCTTTACTTCAAGAAGTATTGTCCTGTCTTAACAAGAGGCTTAGCTTTCTTCTATACTCAGGTATTTCGGGAAGCTGTAAGTACAGATGGAGATGGAGATCTGAAAACATTACTCTACTTGAAAGCAAAACCTCTTACTGATGATGGATATGTTGGAATTACATTTCTGG